TGTGTGTGTGTGTGTGTGTGTGTGTGTGTGTGTGTGCGTGTGTGCGTTTGCGTGTGTGTGCGTGTGTGCGTGTGTGTGTGTGTGTGTTTCAATGGTCTCGTAGGAGGGGAACGTACTTCAAGGGAAAGAGAGCGAGGCAGTACATTGGCTGTGCCTGAACAGCAGCGTGCCCTTCAGCATCGCTCTCGCTCTGTATCTCCTCACCGAGAGGATTCGTGCAGGGCGAGGTCGCGGCCTGCGCATGTGCCCATGCAAAGGTCAGTTTAATCTGCCACCACAACTGAGTCATGTCACATTCACTGTGATATGAGCATCAGTCAGTGTTTTATATGTTGTGGATCATTTTTGTCAAAATTCCTGACCTGCGGTTCACATTCGGCCCGGTGTGCTTTTACGTCTTGGGGTCCACGTCGCGAGTGTATAAAAGTCGGAATCAGATGGGGCCTGACTTACTAAGATCCCACACAGGAGATGCTTCATGGCGTTTTTATAAGCCGTGCATGCTATTGCTGGACGTGTTGCACATGATCTTTGACTAAGACCCCAAAGAGCGAGCACTTAAATTGCATGTTCACACACAATAATAGGTTGGAAGCGCAATTTGCAAATGGTGTAAAAAAAAGTGGAGACTGACATATTTAAAAAACGAGTTTTGCTCATTAGTTGGTTCTGATGCTTTCCACCATGGAGCATTTGAGAGAGCAGAGCAAGCGCAAAATGAAAATCTGAAGTGATGGATTTGTTCATGGGAGAAGCAAACAAACATTGAGTTTCAAAGTTATTTTGTTTAGCCAGCAACCTGGTCTACACTCACTAACCCAACCAGGCAAGGCACTGAGATGTTGTATCCAATATAACCATTTTATTTTTGCTGAGTCACCTGGCATTTCATACCATCGGCGTTTGAAAAATGTTTCCACCGGTGGAAGAAGCTCTGTTCTCTCCGTCCTCTCATTTGGCTTCAGTTTCCTCATCTTATGTGTATGTTCAGTGTAGCAGTGTCATTTAGGCTAGAGTGTGACATTTTTTGGGGAATCCCTCGGGATTCACAGAGACTGGGAGTCAACTTTACCTTTAATCACAGGAATGGGATGGTACAGGATAAAAAAATCACGACAGCAGACGGGAGCAGGATTACCCAGTACAAAAAAAAAAAGCCTCGGACAAGTCCACAGCCAGTTTTGTAACTGACCTCCGAAATGGAAGCTGAATGGGATTAGGAGTCGTTTTCACTGGGAGCGGAACAAAATGTGATTTTTTTTTTCTATAAACGAGCCCGGGATTGGGAGGGCACAGGATTTTTTCCTGTTTAAATGGGATGGCACAGGAGTGAAAATCCACTCCCGTGTTACCCTCTAATTTGGACCGATATGTGGATTTATTTTTGAATAATATTGTATCCTGTCTTTTTCAATCCACATTTATATGAAATTAACATTTAGTGTTAGTCTGTTCAAAAATGTTTCTCCCTCCCGTGACCTGAAGTGTGCTTTGAGTTGTGCCCTCCTGGGCAATTGCGTTTTACACTTCTTTACTGTATCAAAAGGGAATTATATTCAAACTGTATTTAGATCTCAACATAAAGCCCATTGCTTCTCAAGCAGTTTCAGTCTGATGTTACAACTTTAAAACTGTATCAGTGACATTGAATTGTCTGACAACCACCAATTATTTGTGCTTGAAGCTGCTTGGACAGTTCCGTTTTTGCACAGACAAGGCTCCCGTTGGATTATTAATATGTTTTTGTCATCATGACATCTCCACTGTTTTGTTTTGTTTTTTTACCTTTGTACAAACCACATTTAAACATTTTGATCAAAAACATTCAAACAGGAATACATTTCAGTTAATTATACTCAGATATTAGGTGCCTGTGTTTTGTATTAGTAATTTTGGGTTTTTATTTTGTTTTTGTTTTTGTTTTTTTAATACCAGAAGCCTGGATGAGATTCATCAGAACCACCACCACTCCCAGTCCCCTTCCCATTACCACGATTCCCATTTTGAGCATCAACACTCCGGTGACTCTGACTACGAGTGCTCTGAAGACAGGTAACCCTTTTAAGGATTCCAATTTTGGGGATGCTGCTGTGCGAAACATTTCTTTGACAATATATTGCTTAAAAAAAAAAAAAGCACATAGTTTAGGGATTCTTGTTTGTTGCGTTTCATTTTTCATTGTAAAAAGCACAGCTATTACTATAAAGTGTTAATTGTTTTGGAAATTCAGTCTAATTTTATTTGCAAACTATCTTCTCCTACTACAAACAACAGCGTGAAACTAGCGATGCCGTTTCAATGTCAGTCTACTGTATATTGTTCAGTGACGATTTAATGACAGCGCAGAATTATTTATTTCATGATTTTTCTCATTCATAAAATCACATGCCTGTCTGAGGTGCCATCCTCTTCTGTTGTGTGTGTGTGTTTTTCACCCATCGTCATGGCAATGACAGTGAGGCCCTGGAGATGCACAGGTCAATCCGAGGCGGAAGTGCAGAGTGCCTACACACAAACAGGTAAAAAAATGAAAATAAAAAAATAAAATAATCATAATCCAGTTTTATTTTGTGGTATGTTCTACTTTCTAACAACTGTCATCTTCAGTATATCCTAACAACAACATTTGACACACTCCATGTTGGTATTGTTGCAAACTGTATGTGCATGTTTGTGTGTGTGTAGGGGGGGGGGGTATCTCAAAAGTTGTGTGAGTGTCTGCAAGTGCTTCACCACAAAGTTCTAATACTGTTTAAATGCACACATATCGATGCACAACTATTACAACTAGCAAGTTTCAACAATACAAAGTCACTGTGTGAAAAGATTGCGGCACAAGTTGTCCCCAAATAATTGGTTGATAATTGATATCCTTTATTTGTCCCACACTGGGGAAATTTACAGTCTACAGCAGCAAGATTGTGGGTAGAAAGAAGAAAGAAGAAAAACAAAGTGTCTGCATTCACAAAATAAATGTACACCATTCAATTAATTGCAGTATAAATATAGATATAGATAAGGTGGCTGTGCTATTTACAATTATTTTTTATTCAGCAGCCTGACAGCAGTCGGTAGGAACGAGCGGCGGTATCTCTCCTTCTTGCAGCGCGGGTGTAACAGTCTCTGGCTGAAGGAGCTACCTAGTGCTGTCAGGGCGGGCTGGAGGAGGTGGGAGGGACTGTCCATCATAGCTTTTAGCTGAGCCAGCATCCTCCTGTTGCCCACCTCCTCCAGAGTGTCTCGGGAGCAGCCCAGGACAGAACTGGCCGTCCTGACCAGTCGCTCCAGTCTCTTTCTGTCCCGGGCCGGGACAGAAAGAGACTGGAGCGACTGCACATTTATTTGGGATTAACTTGTTTTAATTTTCTATTTTATCATGTCACTCACAGCAGTTATATACTTTTTTTTTTGTCTTTATGTGCATGGCCTCTGCTCATACAACCAGGGCTTCATGTAAACATAGCAACACACTCCCTCCCAAAATGCCCCTGTTAGTAAATGGTATCCATAAAGACATGTACAGGTAAGCAAGAAGGGTCGTCCGTCATTCTTTCCTTTTTTCTTTCTTGTCCATTTTTTTCCCTGCCCTCATTTGTGCTGTCGGTGAGCCATTTTGTCATTGCAGCGTTTTTTTTTTTTCGCCTCAGCAAATAAAATGCCCATATGTCCCTCTCTCTGCTTGTGATGGTGCCAGCTTGTTTTGCCATCTTGCTTTTGTCAACAGAAATGGTACCGTGGACCTTCCCTTTGTATTCATGTGACTTAGTGTTTTTAAGTAAGAAATGCAGATGTGGATTTCATCCAAACACCCCTCTACTGGGGTCACCTAGCTGTGTGAAAGGAGACTTGTCGGCCATGGCAAGGATTTTCATTGTCTTAAAGTTTTGGCGTGAGGTTGAGCTGTTGTGAACTAAGGACTCTGTTCAAACTCACCCTCAGAGCCAGACAAACTTCAGGTCCATTGTATTGACAGTTTTCATTTCTCCTGTATCCAGTCTCAGTTCACAATTTTAGCCAGTAGATATTAGGTCAGTTTAACTGGCGATAGGTAACCGAATGTACAGTCTTTTCAAGTTCAGACTGGGGCTGTCACTCTCAATTAATTGGATACAATTTTATGGGTTTGACAAAACCATTGTTTTCCCGATTACTGTTTATTGTTATTTAGTTGGTATTGTTTAGTGATTAAAAAACAACAATTAAGCAATATCACAAGAGAGGGATTGTTGTACTCTCCATACTTTTAGAAAGGTTACTCAGTTACAAATGTCTTATTTTGATTAGACACGTCACGTGATACTATTTCAAAAGTGCAAAACAATAGAAAATGCTTCACATTTTTATTTCATGTTTTACCAATGCTAAATGTGGCCATCACCGATCACAACAAGCCGAACGTCTCAGTATCGCGGCTCACTGTGTTGATTGCAGCTGTTCTTTGATGTTAATGTTATCAATATGTGCTGGAAGTGGTGCAACATAAACTTTGAAACTAAACACTCTCTCTCTCTCTCTCTCTCTCTCTCTCTCTCTCTCTCTCTCTCTCTCTCGAAAAACACAATATAATGATTTGCAAATCACGTTCAACCTATATTTCATTGAATACACGACAAAGACAAGATATTTAATCTTCAAAGTGATCAAATTTATTGTCTTGAGCAAATAATCATGAACTTTAGAATTACATTTGTTGGCTGCAACACATTCCCAACAAGCTTGGACAAGGTTATATTTACTACTGTGTTACATTTCATTCAATAAACATTTGGGAACTGAGGACACTAATTGTTAAGCTTTGTAGGTGGAATTCTTTCCCTTTCTTGCTTGATATGCAGCTTCAGCTGTTCAACAGTCCGAAGTCTCTGTTGTTGCGTGTGTTACAAAACTGTGGCTATGAAGCCACACTTATGTAACACATGCGCACAGTTCAACTATGAAGTTGAATTGTGCAAATATTACAGTGGCCTGACAGCAGTCCAGGCCTGTCTACATTTGAAAATGTATTGCGCAAAATACAAAAGAAGACCCTGGACTGTTGAGCAACTTAGGTTGTACGTCAAGCAAGAATGGGAAAAAAATTCCACCAATCTTCAAAAAATTGGGTCCTCGGTTCTCAAACATTTATTGAGTGTTGTTAAAAGGAAAGGTGATGTAACAGATTTTGGGGAACGTGTTGCAGGCACCAAATTCAAAATGAGTGAACTTTTGAAAAGAAAAAAAAAGTCTTGTTGTCTTGTCTTTGTAGTGTTTTTCATTGAACATATGTCGAAAAGGATTTGCAAATCATTGTTCTCTATTTTTATTAATGTTTTGGACAATGTCCCAACTATATTGTGAACAGGGATTTTATATGTACTTCGTCAGTCGATAGAGAGGGAAAGAGAAAAGTATGGACTATTCTTGCAGAATGACTTCTCACTGTGATGTTTGCCATCCAATCCACCCATTCATTTTGGAATCACTGCTGTTACAATGAACAGAGAAGCAAATAGGAAATCATGTTTTGATGTCACCAATTATTGCGAGTGGTGCTCAAAGCTTTCTCGTTTTCAGACTAGTGTTCCATTCATACGTTTTGTTTCTCTTCACATTCAGGTGCATGTTTCATTTTCTTTTTTCTTGCCTTTCTTTGTATTTTTTTTCTTGCCTTTCATGGGTGTGGATGGTATACAGTTCCACCCTCCCTGCATGTCTAAGAAGCAAGCTGCCCCAAAGGCAAGAGGCAGGCAACAGCGTGCACCGTAGTATCTTTGCACACCGTGTCCTCAGGTTCACTGATGAGGTCACAGTTAGGTAAGAACATGCCCCTTCACAGTTCCTCCGCCTGTCTTCTGACTACCCCCAACATGTCCTTCGTTCCTTCCTTTGGCGGGTGACATCAGGGAGGGGCTTAAGCTTGTACTTGAAATTGCAAATGTAGAGCATTAAACGAGCACTAAAATCTTAAACCCTTGTCATCCTCCATGTGAGGCCCGTGGCTGATAATTTTTTTTTTTTTTTTTGCAATGTCATGCCAGCCATCTGTTGAAAAGAAGAGTTGTCCTATTGTGCATGACATGATAACACAAAGCAGCGGCAGGCATAGGCTTCAGATAAGATGAAAGCTAGCTTCTCTCTTTTCATCCCTCTCTCACATGCAGACACTTTTCCACTTAGACCTGGTTCCCATGGAAACCCACCAATGCTCCGTCCGGGTGGTCTGACAGTGTATGGAAGAATGAATGTCTATGATAAATGGAGATACAGCCTTCGAGTCATTCCATGTTACTGCACAGTCTGACGGCCTTCCTTATTCTGTCTGTGTCTCCTGCTTGTTTCGCTGCTTTACCTCTCATAATTCTTCCATTCTGTATGATTTTTTTTGTTTATTTGTTCAACATTATTTGTAATCACTTCCACCCTATCTCCTCTCCTCCTTCATGTCGCCACGTTGATTTCTTCCTTACTTCGCTCTTCTGCCATGCTGTGGTGGTGCAGTGACCTACAGCCATCGTTGGATAGAGTGAGGAGTGCCAGCACCACATGTTTGAGACCAGACACCAACTTTCACTCTTCTGACAGAGACAGGTATTAAGAATAAATAGTGGTCATGTGCGCGCACCTACTTCACATCATTTTATGTTGCTACTCTAGTTTGTGCCATGCTACAATCCATACATAGTTTATTTGTCATTGGCATCACTCACCCTTCAATATGGAATGTGGAATCTTCCAAATTGTTTTCATTTCAAAGAGACATTATACTGCAGCTGAAGTGTTCGTCTCAGATGTACTCTACCCATTGCTTAATTCTGGGACATGCCAAGCTACTTCTGCACAGCACAATGGGAGAATGATTTAATTGTGAAAAGTGCTGACGATTTTGTGTAATTGAATGTTAACCCTTTCAGGGACAGCGGTTACTACAGTGGACAGTTTATCATGTTATTAGGTTACAGCAGGGGTCGGGAACCTTTGTGACTAAGAGAGCCATAAAAGCTAAATATTTGGAAATGTATTTCAGTGAGAGCATTTTAAAAGTGAATTCAACTTCAACAAAATGTCAGTATAATAAGCCTCTGAATGTATTCTTTTAAATAATTTTGCGATAATACTTACCATTAATGTGAATGGTTTTCCGTTCCTCGTGATTGCTAAAATTCCAGCAAAACTAGCGGAATTATAGTCAGCTTGCCGGGTCCATATGTGGAGTTGCTGCTGGCTAGCTTGCACCCTGCTCAGTAGCTTGCACGCTTCCTTTCTGCTGTCTCTCACAGGGTATTTTGATGTGAACGTAGCATGGCGCGTGTCAAAGTGCCGCTTTACATTCGACCGTGTCATCGATGGTATTTTGTCATTGCAAATTAGCCACACCGTAGAACCTGTTCTTTCCACAAAGGCGAATCCTTCGGTCTATTTGTCCTGAAGTGTATCATACTCGTCATCTTTTTTTTCTTTTCGCCATCTTATTCTTCGAAGGATTAGCTTTGAGCTAATGACCGAGCAGGCTGATTCAAAAGGGGGCGTTTACCTGTTACCCAGCAACGGCCAACGTAGGCCAGTATCATCCAATTAAAATTGCTCCTGCCGCCAACTGCAGCCCTGAACAGGACATGAGCAGTGAAAAATCGATGGATGGGTTAAACAAGCAAGAATATTTTGTTTTATCTGCGAGCCAGATGCAATCATCAAAAGAGCCACACCTGGCTCTCGAGCCATAGATTCCCGACCCCTGGGTTACAGGGTGCACGAAAGGGTTAATTGATGAAAAACAGCTGTTGAATCAATAACAGCTAGTGTGAAGGGAAGTCGAACTGCCTCCCCACAGACAACCAAACAGTGAACTCCACAAGGAGGAAGTATTGGTATTATTCAGGCATAAATCCCCCATCACATCAAAAATATTAAAAAGCACTTCTTTCTCCTCTTTCCAAGAGTTTGTCTTCCACTTTACAGCGCTTCTACCCACTGGCGTTTACAAGTGATTTGCAGTTCCACCAATCTTGCCAATGCAAATCATTTGGGTCTTTGAATTCCTAGTAGTGTTGACCCTCACCCACAGCTACTATGTTCTCCACAATTGCCCATAACAATACTGTATATAGTCTTCTAGTGGTTCTCAAACTCTTTACACCAAATACCACCAAAAGAAATGCGCTCATCAGTAGATTATGCAGTTTGAACATTGCCAGTCTGCGAAAATATACAGGTTGAGGGGGTGCACTTAAATATCGATTAAGACATTTAGTTAAACACAAATTGTACCCACCCGGTTGAAACAAGATGCAAATTTATCATACTTCATAGTTAAATACAATTTAACAGTAATTAGCAAATATATTGAACTGGGTTAAAAAAAAATGACTACATCGGTAACATGAGGCACATTTTGCACATTTCATTTAGTAACAGTGCACAGAGCACTAGCGAGAGCTCACTTTGAGAATCACTGGCATATACAAAAGACAGAAACCTCAGCTGATAAACCTCTGAGTTCGCACTTTTGAGTCTCCAATTGTTTTGACTTTGCTGTTTTGATCAGAGAACCAATTCCTGGTATACTATACAGTGAAACATTTTAACCCTTTCAGGGACAGCGGTTACTACAGTGGACAGCTTAGCATGTGATCAGGTTACAGGGTGCATGAAAGTGTCAATGAACTTGTGTAGGTTATGTGCCGTTAGACTGAGCCACACTAGCTTTCCCCGTGTCGTGCAGTTGGTGCAAAGACTTGACTGTCCCCTCAACATAAACCTTTTCCATGCATCTGGTATCTTGACCTCCGCTCCTCCACATATCTCCAGGTGCTCCAATTCATTGCCCTGCAAGATCCCCTCAAATCCCCGGATCTTAGTAGAACATGTGGCCTCTGAAGAAGACAGGTATCAGGCCTGACTTTTCCGCTGTCCCAGTCCCAATATTATGTTGCCGCTCTGCTTGCCTGCTTCTATCCTTCTGACCCTACATGCTGACACTTTTATTTATAATAGGATATCACTGTTGCAGTGATCTGCACTGTTCTGGACCCTTCTAAACATTTGTGGGCTGAAGCTGTTGTAATCTTCCATTCGTTTTCCCCCCTGCTTACTACTATGTACTCGATCTGAATCTCTGCAATTTTTTCTTATAAGCACTTTCTTATACAATGCCGGTGGAATGTGAAATGATTGCCTATATTTCTTTCTGACTGAGCAAAGTCGTCACTCCGAGATGTCAATATAATAAGCAAGTATTCTTTTTTTTTTGTTTTATCCTTGTCATTGCCATATCATGCTTGTTTCTCCTCCTCTCTTTCTGGGTTGTTACTGTTTACCGAAACAGGGAGTGTAGCAATACATCAAATCCAGACTGTCTAAAAGGCAGCAAAAAAACCCTGGAGGGTGACAGGTGAGAGCATTCATCCACCCACACGCCATATTCCTCCTACCTCACTCTTTATTTTGATTCACTTGATCAATTTTCCAATGTTTTGTATTTCTATTTGTCAGTTGTAGCCTTTGACTCTGGCCGAAAAGCTTAAACTAAAGCTCTTCCAGCTTTCAACAAACCACCAACACTATCTAGTGGTTATGAATTCACACATAGTTTGAATAAAACTTGCACATTACAGTCTTTTACAAAGTACACATACAGAAATGGTGTATTTGAGATATATTTAGCAAAACAATTCTCTTTTTAATAGTTATTATTTTGTAAACGACAGTCGCATCCAGCCCACCTCTATCCTCAGGGGCAGTAGGGGCAAAGGTTGGCCACTGAGACCCTTTGTCCAGACAACTGTGGCTGAGTCCTCTCCAAACTCTCCACAGACAGACAGGTGCATGCTATTGTAAGCAGGAGGTCTCTCCTACTGTGTGGTCCTATTGTTGCTCCCTTTGTATGCACAATAACCCCATTACATCATCACACCTGACATGTTTCACCATTCTGTAGAATCTTTGAATGAGTTGGGTGGGTGGAGTCTGAAATTCTCAGACGCTTCCAGAATGTCCCAAAACTGGTGAAACCTTTCAAATATTTCATGAATCATGCATAAACTGTCAATAGAATTCCATCCATCCATTTTCAACACCGCTTATCCTGATGGGGGTTGCTGGAGCCTCTCCCAGCTGACGGGCGGAATGCAGATTTCACCCTGAACTGGTCACCAGTTAGTCACAGGGCACATATAGAGGCGAACAACCATTCACACCCACATCCACATCGTCACAGAGTAGGAACCAATCCCACGCTGCCCGCACACAAGTCAGGCGAGTGTACCACTACACCACCAGTGACTTCAATAGAATTCCTCTGAACGTAAATTCTGAATAGCTATATATAGTGTATGTTGAACATGCACACACGCAAGGCACTATCTTCGTAGACAATGTGCTTGGCATTAAAAACTGCCACACTTCCATTTTCGTGCCAGGTCAAGTCTAGTTCACCATGTTTGGGAATTTGGTAGACCACATTGCGTTAGTTCCAGCGGACTAAGAACGTTTTGTATTACATGCCTCCTGCGCACTTGACAGTTAAGTGAAAGAAAATAGATCAGACTTTAGACCAGTGGTTCTTAACCACTGCCATGGAGGTTGAGACACACCTGACTCAACATGTCAATTAGTTATGACATGCCTGCTTGGCCATCACTGGCTGCAGATGATCACATTACATTGCTTGTCCAATCAGTGCTGTGGGAAATTTAGTTCGCTCAGTGATAGTACGTCATAAAACTTAAAAATAAATAAAAAAAAAAAACAGTACGTCATAAAACTTAAAAATAAATAAATAAATAAAACATACTTAGGCCATGTAATTTTATTTAATTTTGTCTGTTTTTAATAAATGTGTTATTTTAATGTCTTGAATTTGTAAAAAAAAATATTTAATTTTTTCTGTTTTTAATAAATGTGTGATTTTAATGTCTTGAAATTGTAAAAAAAAAATCTTATTTTTATTTTTCACTAAAGAAGGGTTCGGTGAATATGCATATGAATTGGTTGGGTTCGCTACCTCTAACAAGGTTAAGAACCACTGCTTTAGGCCATGTGAATTCCTTCTAAACATACTTTGCGCATGCCAATCTTAGCCACCTTATGCCGTGTGCCTCAACTGCGCTGAATTTAAAGGCCTGGAATCAAGTTAGCTGTGTTCATTCCCACAACAGCACAAACGCTTATTTTTACCTGCACTCGTCTGCAAAAACGCCAAAAGAAAGAACACTCAACCCATGTGCTCTGTTAGACTGCGCTCTGCGCTAGATGCTGAGCAGGAAAATAGTGCTGTCTCTCTTGCTTCTCCCCTGCCTGTTTGCTGATTAATATCCTGTACTCTCCCCGTTTTACCAGATCATCACCTTTTATTTTGTCTGTCTGATCTTGTTTTCTCCCCTGAAAAAATAAATATTTATGATATATGCATTTGCCCATTCCTTAATCTTTTGCTGTCTTTTTTTGTTTCTGTCTGCCAGAACACACCCTCATGGTAGCCCTTCTTCCCCAATGGGGACTCCCTCATCAGGTCGCAGGGGCCGGCAGCTTCCACAGCTCCCGGCTAAAAGCAGCAGCATAGAACAAGGTATGATATGTAGATGCAAGTACGGTACTCTGTCTGCTTGGATCAGAGGATGAAGGTATCCATTCAAGGCAAAGTTTGTTGTACTGCTACAACTACTACCACTACAACTACTAATAATAATAATCCCCCTCCCTGAGCCATCACCTTAGCGTGCTCGAGGGGTTTGTATGTCTCACTGATCCAAGGATCTAGGTTGTCTATTGCTTTATGCCTCTAGCAGTGTCACCCATGGCAAACAGGTCCTAGTTGAGGGACCAGCTACAACACAGCTCAAAAGATCCTTATTGCAGTTGCCAATTTAATATTGGTCGATGTCTGTGGCGTGTTCCATATGTCGTGTAGTATTGATAATTTGAATTGCCATATTTTATAACCAAGTTGAAATCATTGTCATTATTATTTTATGCATATGTTAGATTCCATTCGTTTAAAATATTTGTAGTACAGTGAAACTTCTTTAGAACAAAACCTACATGGGCGAAAATACCCCCTTATGTGAAAAAA